TGTCTTCTCATCACTTCCTGTGTTTATACTTGATCATTTGATTGCTAATGCCAGCGTGTACTTGATCTGCTGTCTTGTTTTGACCGTAATAGTCTACAAAGTCTCCCTCTGGATTGATGAGGTACATTATAATAGTGTGATCAACCTGTAGCAGGAGATAATTAACAATGAGATGTTTTGGTATCTTATTTACAATGATTTAGTGAACACTTATACAACTTTCTCAAGATTACCATTTTATTTCACAATTTTGTGAATATGTAGCATTGATCGGCAGTTTTAATAATAGACTACTCCATAGTTTCCTATCTAAAGGCATAGGCAGGCCTGGTGTGTGGGCGGTGGTTTTTATCTATTCATTGTCATAATAAATTGTGTGTACAATTAATAATACACCACAATAATTAGTTGTGATGTGGCACCATCCAGGTGGAAAAAGAAAACTACAATGTAATTTGCCAATGGCCAATTACCAAAATAAAACTTTGCTAAATAATTTAATTATGATAATTTACGAAAACATATTTTCTTCTCATGTACATGTAAATACATATATTTGCAATAAAAGGTCACCAAAAATCCATTAAATTCATTTGCACACTACTAGTTTAATCCTCATCCTCTCATACTCCCCTCCCTCTCTATCTCTCATTCCTTACTAAATAATCATTATCATCATCAACAGATGCTGGACTGTAATAGACTTGATAAGCTTTAGCTGCTGTATGTACCTCTTCATTTGTTCCTGTTAGTCCTAACAGCTTAGGATGAAACTCTATAAGAGATAAAATAAAATAAAATAAATCAATAATTATTGCTACATGTAGTTTGCTACAAGTATTAAGTACTGGCATATTGTTATGGTTACACTATGACATATACACATGTACATGTACATAAAATAATTAGATTTGGTGGATTAGATTCAATGCTTCAATGCAACTAATTAAAAACAAATTATTGGGCAATTAATAGATAATTTAACACTTTAAAAACTCATAAATACTGATATTTAATTTGAATGTGAATCAGCTTAAATTTTCTCAGCAAATACATGTAAGTAGTATGTAAAAGTATGTAAAGTAGTATGACGAACATTGGCTAAAAATTCATAAAAAATTCAATTTTGATTGGAATCAGTTCAAACTTTCTACACAACATAAGAACATGTATATGCATCTGCAAAAATTATAAAAATAGAGAATTCTCTCCTTTTCATTTTTGGTGAAATATTGCTGAAACCCCTGTGCTATAGTACAGGGACTTTGGCCCTATTTTGGAGCAACTTAAAAAAATTCATAAAAAATTCAATTTTGATTGGAATCAGTTCAAACTTTCTACACAACATAAGAAGAAGTATATGTATCTGGAAAATTTGAAAAAATAGAGAATTCTCTCCTTTTCATTTTTGGCGAAATTTTGCCAAAACCCCTGTGCTATAGTACAGGAACTTTGGCCTGATTTTGAAGCAACTTAAAAAATTCATAAAAAATTCAGTTTTGATTAGAATTAGCTCAAACTTTCTACACAACATAACAATATGTATACATATCTGGAAAAATTATAAAAATAGAGAATTCTCTCCTTTTCATTTTTGGCGAAATTTTGCCAAAACCCCTGTGCTATAGTACAGGGACTTTGGCCCAATTTTGGAGCAACCTAAAAATTTCATAAAAAATCAGTTTTGATTGGAATCAGTTCAAACTTTCTACACAATGTAAGAAAATACATACATATCTCGAAAATTATAACAATATTTTCTCCTTTTCATTTTTGACAAAATTTGAAAATTTGGCTGAAATGCCCATGCTATAATATACAGGGACTT